CCAACATCTAAGGTTCGTCTTTGAAATCCCTCCCTGAATTGACCTGATTTCACCACAGTGGGTTCCTTTGTGTAAGCTTGACTTTGAGGCAGTCAGAAATAGTTGTTGGTTTCAACTACCACTGAGCAGGCTTTAAGGGTTTAAACAACCATTTAAAACACAATGCTGGGCTTCCCTGGTGGCGCAGCGGTTAAGAATCCGCCTGCCAATGCAGGGGACACGGGTTCGAGCCCTGGTTCAGGAAGATCCCACATGCCGCGGAGCAACTAAACCCGTGCGCCACAACTACCAAGCCTGCGCTCTAGAGCCCGTGTGCCACAACTACTGAAGCCCGTGCGCCTAGAGCCCGTGCTCCACAACAAGAGAAGCCACCGCAATGAGAAGCCTGTGCACCGCAACGAAGAGTAGCCCCGGCGCGCCCTAACTAGAGAAAGCCCGCACGCAGCAACGAAGACCCAACACAGCTAAAAATAAACTAATTAACTAACTTTTAAAAATAAATAAAACACAATGCTATGGATCCATACACGCAGCCAGAGGTTGAAATGGTGAGATTCGAGTCCAAATCCCACCTTTGTGACTGAGGGGTCCTTTCCTAAGGAAAGTGGGATCTGGACTTTGGCTTGACATGAAAGCAATATGCTCACTGGTGCAAGAGGAATAAACAGGGTAACTTCCAAGAAAAAGTCACATTCTTAGAGAGTGATGGGTAGAAGGTTTAGCTTCAGCAAGAAGACCTCAGCACAGCACCCTCTGCAGCCCGAAGTCCCGGGGTGGAGGAGGGAAATGGAGGGCCTGGCGGAGGGGACCAGAGCAGGGATTGGACACAGCACATGAGGAATCTGGGCAGGGGAGGCTCTGAGGGCGCAGGAGGCAGGGAGGGACAGAAGAGGCGTAGAGGGAACAATAAGGAATGTGGGAGCCACATGGAAGGATGGAAAAGGGGAAGCAGACCAAGTGCCTGGGGGAAGAGTCAGAGAGCCAGAGAATGGCTTGAGCAACAGGAAAAGAGGGAGAAAGCGACACAGAATTAGGGGACTGAGAAGAGGTCAGGGAAGTTGGAAAGGAAGAGTGCAGGAGGATGGGGGCGGGCACAGACACACACAGAGACAAGACTCCCTGGTTCTGACACATTCTCATCGGTGACCCCCGCTCCATGGCATGGCCTCTCCCCATCTAGATTGTCCTTGTTTTCTGATTGGTTAAAAAAAGAGCTACTAATACCATCCCAGTCTATCTCAGAGGGAAGTCAGGACCAGGGGAACACACATCCTACCCCTTCGCACATGCTATTTTCTCTGACTGCACCATTCTGCAGCGTGTGCACTGGGAGACCAGTGCAGCTGGAATGGAGGAGGGTGGTGTGGGATGAACCTGGAGGGCTGGGGGCCGTGGAGTCCATGTGAAAGGTTTTGATCTCTTTGGGGTAGTTGTGGTCAAATTCATAAAGTCCTGATTCCTCTTTTCCATTATCTGTCCATCTCTGGCATGCCTGCTTCACCAGTTGCAAGTATAAACACAGCTGCACCTCTTTTCTTTTTCCTATTAATTGCTGGAGCCCCCATATGTCAAACAGCTCACATGTAAAGCCTCTCCATCCAGGCATCCAAGAACCCCAAGGTCTTACTTGGTCCAAAGGGGAATTTGTCTCCTTCCAAATACCGCAGAGAAGATGAGAAAAGCTAGTGAGCTCAGCTGTGGTCTGCCAAGCCTCTGGTCACTGTCGAGCACTGCCCCACACATATAGATACTTGTGTGCTGTTGAGGGGAGGAGAGCTTCCAGGGATAATTTGGACTTACCTCGCTCACGCTCAGCCACTGTCCCCAGAGCTGAGTGGGACGTGGCTGGGCCTGCAGAAGTGTCCACCTGTCAGCCCCAACTGTTCAGCACCAGCCCAGTGCTCCTAGAACCCTTGGTGTCCTTTCTCCCAGGGGACCCCACATGGATGCTCCTAACCCTTCACAAAGCTCCTGAGTGTGGAACGTCTCCATGCAGCCCGGCCTCACTCCCCTCCCCTCCACTACTTCTGCAGACCAAGGGCAACTGTGGAGCATTTTTGTCAGGGCACAACAGATCCCATTACACTCCAGCCAACAGATATCAACTGGCCTTAACTTCATAAGACCAAACAACCTTTCCCATGATAACAAAGTCTATCCCATGGCTACCAGCTCCCTCTATTTCCAGACATAGGTGATGGTGGCATATGGAGTTTGTTTTCATGGTTTCCCTCTCCAGCACCTCATTATTATAATATTATTAATATATAAAATGATGAACTCAGAAAATATCAATAGAAAAACATTCCACGTTTCCAACCAAATAAAGACATTTATACCAGCATGTAAAACACAAAACTCACAGTTTCCATGGGTGAATGTGCTCCCTAGAACCGTGACTGATGCATTCCATAACGCCTTATAGGACATAGCAGCCCACAGAGCAAGCGACGGCTCTGGGCCCTGCCACTGCGAGTCCCACTGTGAAGAGAGGTTTTATTGTAGAAACATTTACTCTGAAAAAATGTTACTACTATACATATCCTGAACCTTAATTTTTTAATAAAATGAAAAATTGCGACATCTTTATTTTTTTACTAATGGTATTAAATATACTTTCAGAATGCTCTAAAAGCTTTAAATATGTATTTTTCCATGGTTTCTTTGTCATTGAAATAAAAGACCCTAAAAACCTATATATTCTCATATCCAGAATATATAAAGAACTTTCAAAACACAATAAGAAAATAACCAAACCAATTAAAATATAGCAAAAGATTCAAACACACACTTCACCAAATAAGAGATAAAGATGGCCAAATAAACATATGAAAAGATGCTCAGTTAAAGTCACAATGACATCTATAAGAATGGCTAAAATTAAAATAAATCAACAACTGATGCTACCGAGTGCTGCTGAGGCTATGGAGCAACTGGAACTCTCCTTCATTGCTGATGAAATGAAGGGAATGTAAAATGGTACAGCCACTTTGGAAAATAATTTCACAGTTTCTTATAGAGTTAAATATATATTTACCATATGATCCCACAATTCCACACCTGGGTATTTACCCAAGAGAAATGAAAACACATGCCCACACAAATTATTATAGCAGCTTTATTTGTAACTGCCTCAAGCCGGAAAGAATCCAAGTGTGGGTGAATAAGCGGTGGTACATCCATACAACAGAATACTACCCAGCAATAAAAATGAACTAACTGCTGATGTACCCAATAACTTGGATGGATCTCAAGGGTATTATGCTATAATATTTAAAGAGTCTAAATTATAAATATAGCTATTTCTATACAAAAAGGTTTTTAGAGAAATTTTCACTATAAACAGTGATATCAAGCCATAATGTAGGCTGAAAGGGTTAAGGAATTCTTTTAAATTAAATAAAGTTATGAAGGAAGGAATAACCCATTTCATTATATTAATTCAGCTCCATAGCAGGAGCTGCCATGGGAGCATTGGTCCAGGGTTTCCAGAATATGTGGCTCCCCTGCACTTCTGAGCTTGGCTTCAGTGATACCACCTTACATGCTTGTGCCCACTGCTGACCCCGCCCCTGCTCAATTTCAGATACCCACCTATTTTTTTTTTTAATAAATTTATTTATTTATTTATTTTTGGCTGCATTGGGTCTTTGTTGCTGCACGCGCGCTTTGTCTAGTTGTGGCGAGTGGGGGCTACTCTTCGTTGTGGGGTGTGGGCTTCTCACTGCAGTGACTTCTCTTGTTGCGGAGCATGGGCTCTAGGTGCACGGGCTTCAGTAGTTGTGGCATGCGGGCTCAGTAGTTGTGGCATGTAGGCTCAGTAGTTGTGGCTCACGAGCTGTAGAGCACAGGCTCAGTAGTTGTGGCACACGGGCTTAGCTGCACCGCGGCATGTGGGATCTTCCCAGACCAGGGCTCAGACCCGTGTCCCCTGCACTGGCAGGCAGATTCTTAACCACTGTGCTAGCAGGGAAGTCCTACCCACCTATTTTTGCAAAGGCTTTAGTAGTTGCAAAGTAGTCTCTTCACCAGCATAGCCCTGGGGAGTCAGGAATTCCACAGATAACCCATCCTTATGCCCTGGAGCACAGCAATGTCCACAGTCTTCCCCAGAAATCTAGGACATCCCAGACCCTGGGACTCTGCAGCTATCTTCATCTCCTTTCTCAAGGATGCTCGGGGCCCAAGCATCAAAAGCACATTAAATAAAAATGATGACTCACCAACCGAATGTTTAGGACTTTGAATGATTTACCCTTTCGCACAAAATGTTATGCAACTCATGCCCAGAGCACCCCGGAGCTCCCCAGAGCAGATGGCCAAGGAGAGTCACGTGCCATCAGAGACTGTCAAAGAGCAAACATTTCAAAATTATGCCTCTTCCACCAAAGACAGTACTTCTGCTCAAGCTCACCTTTTTGCCCAGTACCCAACCATAAAGAGTTTTGTTGTTGAATCAGCCTAAAGGGTGAACATGACATCGTTTATCTGTTTATGTAGCAGGTTCTTCTACCCAAAGTATCTCACCAGTTTTCTTGATTTTACAAATCGTCACTTTTCCACGATCTGTGCCAATGGAATGCAGTAGTACCATAGGCCCAGTTCCCTCATCATGGATGTCTGGCTTTGGAAGGAACCTCAATACTCATTTGTAGGAACTGACTGCACTCTGCATCAAAGGCATCTGGTCACCAGAGAAGGAAGCACTTACTGGGGGCTGGGAAACGTTCCTCTCCTGCTCCCAGCTGCACTCTCCCCAGCACCATTTGGTTATGAACAATGTTCCTGTGATGGAGGTGGCAAAAGGGCCCCATTCTCCCCTCCTTGTATCTACCACTCTCTCAGTGTCACCCTGCAACTCTGTGTACTCACCCCTTCAATCTGGCTACCCTGTGTCTTACTTTGGCCAACAGAATGTGGCAGAAATGACAGCACACCAGTTCAAGCCTAGGTCTCAAAAAGCCTGATATGGTTTTGTTTGCTCTCAGAACCCAGGCACCACCATGAGAAGAAGGCCGGGGCAGCCTGCTGGGAGGATGAGGGACCGCGTGGACAGGGTTCAGTCCAGCCAGCCTTCCCCGAGCCAGTCAGCTTGCAGACTGCACGCAGGTCAGCAAGCCCAGCTGGGCTCCTCCAGGCCTAATGAACAAACCAAGCTGAGCCAACCCACAGGGCTGGGAGCTAAATCAATGGTGATTGTTTTAAACCACTGAGTTTTGGGGTAGCTTGTTACACAGCAAGAGCCCTCTTTTCCTTTGCCATAGGAAGGTTCCAATACCTCACATTCAAACTACTCTTTGTGCTTGCAGGCAGAGAGAAGAAATTAATTCTTCCTACTTCTGATAGCTGAATTAGGTGTGGGTAGAAAACACTAGACTCCATTTCCGTTTCAACTCTTTCACTGCCTAGCCAACCTACATTTTAAAGAATTTTACTTATGAGATCAATGGTAGATATATTATTTAAAAAAGGCACTTTCTGTCCCAACTCTTGTTGAGGTTTCCACCAATGACACCATATAACCAACATTTGATACCACAGTACATCATAGAGATCAGAAAGAAGTCAGATCATTATTTCACAAAAAGCTTTGTTTAAACAAGCCGTGAAAAAAATTTTTTATCATCAAATATGTTTAATAATCTCTTTATCACATTCCCCAGTTTTTCATTATTGTCTTCATTTCATTCTGTTTACATTTGTCATATACATCTCTATAATACACAGACACAGACCTATATTTGCTATATACTTCCTATCATTTAATTGTCTTTGGATCAATATAGAATTAGTAGGGATCAGCATGGGAAAGAATACTACCTTTTTCTGAAAGTAGATTCTTATGTATTTATTTAGCACCTTCTATTTAAGGATCTCAAAATACTTTAACATTCACTGTAGCATCCTTATGTTATCTCTAGTTTGGGAAAATGTCAAAAATTAGTGCCTTTTTATAGGAAAGAAAAGGAAAGTATTAGTGAGATGATGACAGTCACAGTAGAAACTTGGGTCTTTAGCTCAGCCTTCTCCTTTGTGAACTATACTTTGTTTAATATGTCAAAAGGTTTAATGGCTTCTTCCATTTTTATAACATCTCTCTTTGGATGGATGTGAACTAAAAGGGCAGCACAGACAGTAAATTCCCACCAACGGATCATCCTGGCAACACAGTTATTTCCTGCAGTTTTTCATGTCAGCTAAGAAGCCCCATAAATTATAGAACCACCTCTGCTTCTCCATTAAAAGTCATAATTGATGGCTACTATTCTAGCATTTCCAAGACACCTGCAACCGACAGGGAGAAACCAGTGATCAACGATCATTCCCTTCAGCTGGGCATTTGTGGCCATTAAAGTCTGGACAGTGACTGCTATCACCACTCTTAAAACCAACCAGATCTGCAAAATTAATTTTAATGTGCTTAGATATTTTAACTTTAGTATTTGAGGAGAACGAATGCTCACTGGCCACAACAGATGAAACATCCTAGGTAATTCCTTTCACTCTGACTCACATTGTATGTTTCCTCACAAGAGCACTGATGCTAAGAGAAAAGCACCTCTATGATAAGTTTTCTTAAGTTCACAATATAAGGATTTGGGTTTTTAATGTAAACGCATGGAAAATAATAAGAATGTTTTCCACTTTTACAAGGCTAAATTACAGATACACGATTTTTTAGGAAGAAAATGGTGCCTACTGCCTAAACACATTTATGCTATTCTTGTTTAGAAAGAAAACAAATGCACAACTTTATTCTTCCTTTCTTGAACTTTCCTGGCACCTTCCTTTCACCGTGTGTGCAGGCCATCCCATGTCCTACTCATTTTCCACACCTTTTCCAGGGACACATCAAGAATAAGAATGCCAAGTGCAGCAACTTGGATTTTTGAGATTTAGTTTCCCAAGTACCTGATTGCCTCTGCTGGGAAGGGTACTACATTCACCCGGGGGAAATGAACCATTTTGAGATGCAGTAAAGGAGGCAGACACGAATTGCAACTTAGTGCTGCCTAGAAATTAACACAAACTTAAAAAACATTCAGGGTGAAAATGGGATTTCCCCTTTTCCTTCCTTTAGAAAACTGAGAACTCAGAAAAGTTTTCGAAAGCTACAAGTCCCTCCTCTTGTTCTCTGAGCCTCCCCGCAGGCTTCACATTTCTAGCCTTCTTCCCAAAGTGCTTAGTACAGACTCCTCACCTCTCCCCGCCCCCGCCATCACCAAAACACAGTCATCTACTTGTGAGAAGGGACCAAAAGAAAACATATAAAGAAGACCATCACCCTTAGGAGACTTTTCAAGAAAATCGTTAAATAGTAAAAAGAAAAAAGGGCGGACAGTATCAAGAGAAACGTTATGAGAGACAGTGAAATACAAATATCAAACATGGAGGACGGGGTGGGGGAAGGGATACAGATCCAAATAGAACAGGACGGCCATAAAAACACATGTCGTAAAGAGACAAACTACTGACGAACTAATAATGGGAGGTGGAAGTGGAAGAAGAAAAACTATAGGAGGTAAAAAGTGGAGTAACAGAAGAGAGCAACGTGTACCTGTGCAATTAGTAGACACGTGACCGTGGATGGAAGTGAGTAGTAATAACAAATGTACTTTTGTTTGCTTGTTTGTTTTTAAAGTCCCCGATTCTATTTAGAACAAGATGGATAAAGAACGTCCGTTCATTTGACGCAGGCGTACCGAACGGAGGGGCTCAACGGCACACCTCTGGGGCCACGGCCCCGCCCCATCCCAGGCCCCGCCCTCAGCCCCGCCCAGGCGCGGGTGCGCGGCGGCGTCGTCAGCTGGGGACGCGGCTTCCGATGTGCGCGGCGCGGAGGGCGGGCTGGAAGGCCTGCAGCTCCGCGCCCGCCTGGCTGCAACCGCAGCGGGTTCTCGGCTGCTCAGCGCCGCGTCTCTTGCGCGCCGGCCTCGGCCTCCCCCTGCTCCTGCACCGGCCGCGAGGCCTTGTCGGGCCCGGGGGCGCCTCGCTCCTGCAGCCCCGGGCCCACCTCGAGGCCGGCGCACGTGTCCGGGAAGCGCGGCCCGAGGCCGGCGAACGAGTCGCAGCACGGCGGGCTCTCCTCCTGCACCGGGCGGCCCACCGGCTCCCCCGCGCAGCCGCCCGGCCCCGCCGGACCCTCCTGCGAGTTCTGACTGACGTAGACCACGATGATGTCGCCCTTGAAATTCATCACCTGCCCGCTGGAAATAAACGTGGAGTTACTGTTTCCAGTCACATTTCCTACAAGGGGAGAGGAAGAGAGAACACGCAGAGGGTGAGTCATCAGTTCTGGGCGAGAACTTGGTCTTGTGAGAGGAAAGTTTCCCAATGCATGGAGGAGCGCTGGCGCCCCGGCCCTCTCACGGGCGGCCCTTCCTCATCCACCTGTCCCCTAAAATGCATGGGGCACTCCCCGTGGTTCCTTCCTTTGCCGTCTCACCGGGCCTGACTGAGGTGGAGGAAGGAAAAAGGGAGGGAGAGAGAGAAGACGAGGGAAGAGAAGCAAGACAGTGGGCCATCCTCAGGTTTTGTCGTTGGCCACAATGACCTCGGGGGACACTGGCAGGAGAGCCCGCCCGCATCGCAGAATCACGGACGGGATTCAGATGTCGCAAAAGGGTGTGCGCACGTGATGGATAACGCAGCAAACACAGCCAATGGTTCGGCAATGGTCAAATGCATCAGGAAGGGAAGCAAAGGCTGGAGCGAAGGTTGCGGCCTGTTAGGACCCTGGAGCCCACCGCAGCCCAGCCTCCTCTCTGACCAGACTCTTTCACAACTTTTCACCCTCCCTGGAGAGGTCCCTAAGCTCAGCCCTGGTGGGCCATGGGGCCACCCGGGCTCAGTATTTAGCAGAAATTTCCTTAACATTTTTTCAAACTCCTAGAAAAAAGAGAGATGCACAAGACTAAAATGGAGAAAAGCCAACCAACCAAACAAAAACAATCTTACAAATCACTCTTTCCTTCGATCCCTGGGAGGTGTTTTGTCCCCAGGGGGTTCTGTCATCACTTTTTGTGGGTGACTGGATTTAGCCAGTCTTTAATTAGTGGGCCTTTTGAAAAACAAATAGAAAGTTCAACAAATGTTAGGAAACCTACTACCTCTTATTCTCCTATGTCAAAGACTGATGCTCTACAAATGACCCAGGTGAAAATAAATGCCACAAACCAAGCAGATGCAGAAATGCCCGAACACTCAGCATCGCCAGCAGAATCTTTCAGTCTGACCAGGGAAGGTGAACATAAAAACAGTGCCTCACTATTAACCTTATCTTTTTTTTTTCTTCTCTGTTGTGACAAAGCTTAATAATAACTTACACAAATAAAATCGTTTCTGTCATTACTCTCCATGAAGAGATTTCTCCCAAATGTGGAAAGCATATTTTGGATGGTCTCACTGAAATACCAACAGCATACAGGAAATACCAGGAGCCTTCCCTGCACCCACAGGGTACCTTCACAGATCCTGAGACAAGCACAGTGGCCCATTACAGGGATTTCAAGGAAAACAGAGATTTCAAATATGAGCAACAAATTGAAAGTCACAAGGGAGGATTTGTGACTCACGCTCCTTCTCCCGTTGGCAGTTGTATTGGGGATGTTACTAGATGGGTGGTGGCAGGGATTTATTTGCCTATTAATTTCCCCAAGCGACTTGGGCAAGTACAGCTAGTATTCCATTCACTAACTAGTCAGATTGACCCATGTTCTCCATTCCCTCTAAAATACACAGACATGATCCCACAATCCCATTCCTGGGTATATATCCAGAGAAAACTATGGTTGGAAAGGATACATGCACCCCAGTGTTCATTGCAGTGCTGTTTACAAGAGCCAAGACATGGAAACAACCTAAATGTCCATCAACAGATGAATGGATAAAGAAAATCCATTGTGGTATATATATACAATGGAATATTACTCAGCCATTAAAAAGAATGAAATAATGCCATTTGCAGCAACATGGATGGACCTAGAGATTATCATACTAAGTGAAGTTAAATGAGCTTGTTTACAAAACAGAAATAGACTCACAGACTTAGAAAACAAACTTAAGGAAAGGTGGAGGGGGGGATAAATTGGGGGTTTGGGATTGACATATACACACTACTATATTTAAAATAGATAACCAACAGAGACCTGTATAGCATATGTAACTCTACTCAACGTTCGCAATAACCTAAGTTGGGAAAGAATTTGAAAAAGAATAGATATATGTATATGTATAACTGAATCACTTTGCTGTACACCTGAAACTAACACAACATTGTGAATCAACTATCCTCCAATATAAAATAAAAATTTTAAAAAAACATAGGTGTTCATAACATCGAGCATACTCTATGCTACAGGTCTACTCTCTATTATGCCTATGTCTTTCTGCTCTCACCAGTTACCAAGTTAGTTCTTAAGTCTGTTTTTAACTAGTTGAACCTATTAGGAAATCTAATGAAATACAAGCGTACCTTGTCTTCTTGCTCTTGGGTTTATTGTGCTTTGAAAATACTGCGTTTTTTACAAGTTGAAGGTCTGTGGCAACCCTGCATTGTCAGATGATGGTTAGCATTTTTGGCAATGAAGTTTGGTTTGTTTTTTTTTTGCGGTACGCGGGCCTCTCGCTGTTGTGGCCTCTCCCGTTGCGGAGCACAGGCTCCGGATGCGCAGGCTCAGCGGCCATGGCTCACGGGCCCAGCCGCTCTGCAGCATGTGGGATCTTCCCGGACCGGGGCACGAACCCGTGTCCCCTGCATCGGCAGGTGGACTCTCAACCACTGCGCCACCAGGGAAGTCCGGCAATAAAGTATTTTTAAACTGAGTATGTACATTATTTTTTTAGACATGCCATTGCACACTTAATAGACTATAGTATAGTGTAAACATAACTTTATATGCACTGGGAAACCAAAAAAATTCGTGTGACTCACTTTATTGTGGTGTTTGCTTTATTGTGGTGGTCTGGAACTGAACCTGCAGTATCTCCAAGGTATGTCTTTATGTAAAGTTGCGAAATGTGAGTAAGTGTGAAAAAAAGGCAAATGTTTCTAAGAAAACTGAATGCTTTGCAAGGACCCAAATAAATGTGAGCCACTAAACGCAAAACAGAAGACATCAGCAAGCTGCTGAACTGGTGTGTGGTGGCAGCTGTTAAAAGAAAAAATGAAAAAGAGACTTTAAAAATGCAGAAGGAGTTTGCATTCAGACTTGTCATGCCTGGAAATTAAGATGATGTGGTTAACGTGAAAAAGGCTCAGGAAACTATATTCAGCCAACACATATGTCCCTATACTAAAAAATCAATGTGTGAATGCAAGTTATATGTTTTAAGTTTAAAAAGATGTTGAAGAGGTGAACTTGTAAATGACTTTTTCAAGTAACTCAACAGCTGCTAACTGAGAGCTGATATAAGGTCTCTACTGTAGCAGCAGCAGCATGAATGAGCATAATAACTAACACAGGAGAAGTCTTCCTAGTTGAGGGATCACTAGTTAACAGAAAAAGTCAAAGTGAGAAATCAAAAATAATATGTGTATACCATAAACCATATTCCAATTTAAAATGTACTGTGTTTAAAAATAAAAAATAAAATATAAAATAAAATACCATGATTATTTAATAAGAGCAGCAAATCTAAGTTGCTTTAAAGTATGATTTTTTCCTTGGTATAATTCCTTTAGCTTTTTATTATTACAACACTGAAGAACAACATGGTTCTGTTGTTCTTCAGTATCTTGTAAACCTACACACAGGGCAGTGCTAGCCACTGCGTGATTGATTTATGGTCTTGAATTTAATATCTTTTTTGTCCTCTTCATATGGATTTATCTGTTTATGTCATGGTATATATAATTTCTCCATCATTTAAAATTTTATTTTCCAACAAATCATCATCATGACTCCATTGTTGTTTACCTTCCTCGTCAGAATCTTCAGTTTGTCTGAACTCAGATAAAAACCCTTTTTTTTTTTTAACCATTATCTTACACATCAAGATTTTGTGTTAAAACTTTTCTTCTTAAGAATTTCATTCCAGGGGACTTCCCTGGCAGTCCAGTGGTTAAGACTCCACGCTTCCAACATAAGGGGCATGGGATTGATCCCTGGTCAGGGAACTAAGATCCCACATGCCATGCAGCCAAAAAACCAAAAAAAAAAAAAAATTTTCATTCCATGCCTTTGCCTCATGGTAAACAATATATTTTTGATATATTCTATAGGATCGATATACTTATTTTCTATTTTTTTTCCAAAATGGAATTCAAACCCTTTTTCCTAAGAAATATATGTAAACATTTCATAATTCTTCGATCCACAGACTGGATCAAGAATATTATTCTTGCGGAGGGCACAGTAGGGAGGGGAGGACCAAAAAAAGGCCTTTAAACTCCTGACGAATAGGATGTAAAGAAAAGCTACCTAGAAAGAGTATGAGATTCTCAATTTTATTCTTCATGTGTTTCTTCATCGAAAAGTACAATTAATGACAAAAACTACCTTCGATGAAGTCCAAGTCTGTTCCATTCACGCTGACTTTTATGAGAGTAGTAAACTGGTACAGACTAAACTTTAAAAAGCTCTACTTATTGGCCAGTAACAGTAAGTGACAGCAGAGCCATCTTCAGGGGCATGTGACTTGTGCAGTCGCACAGGGCCCTGTGCTCAGAAGGGCGCCGTGCTTGTTTAATGTTCTGTTGTCATCATCTTGAAATTCTTACTAATTTTTGCACAAGGGGCTTCATATATTCACTTTTCACTGGGCTCTGGAAACTTTGTAGCAGATGGCAGACAGCTATAAGGAGTCCTGCTCTGTTTCCCCCTCCCCGCCTCACTGATGCTCTAATTTAATGCTACTCTTTTTGGAGGTAACATCTTATAAGCTGGACATGTTTCAATATTGCAGACACATTTGCCGATCTAATTTTCTCTATTGATAAAGAACTCAACGTTCGGTAAAACTCTGAGTTGCAGAGGCTACCCACCGGTGCTCCTAAAACGTGGACTCTAATGATATGTTTCCCTGGTGTTCAAGCCACTTGCCACCTGCTATAAAACTTTCAACACCCACTTTCTGATAGAGAACTGAGGCTTGTCCCTTTGAGAAAAGGTCTGCTGACTGTATCAGTTATACCTGTCAGGCTTTGCCTCTGATCTCGTTTTGGTTTCTTTAAAGTGAAATGAGAACCAAGCCAGCTGCCAAGCAGTCTAAGTGCAGAATCCTTCTAGAGTTTTATTGCCTCAACC